ACCGTCTCTCCTCCCCTGATACCTGCACTCACCGGCTGTGAGCTGGCTTCCCTAGTTCTTTGTAGCAACCCAATTATAGGGGCGCCAGGTCAAAGCTAATCAAGTGCAGTGGTAGTTTAGCTTTAGTCAGGCTACCTGAGTTTGAATCCTCACTGCTGGTCACCAATTAAACCACTCTGTGCTTCAGTTTCCTAATCTGTAAAATGGGATAATGATGGTACTTACCTCACAGGGTTGTGAGAACAAGCTAATGTGTGCAAAGTGCTTAGAACAGAACCTGGCACATAGTTTCAACATTTAATAAATATTATTCATATTGTCATCATTTTTTTTTGAGGGTTTTTATGAGTTTATTTGAACCAAATTGATGACATTGCCAGGAAGCAAGATCTCAAATGCCCATCATTCTTGAAACGTTGAACTCCACTGTTTTTCATTGCTACAGTCCTCCCTCTCCAACTCCTTTGTGTTCTTAACTCCCATTCATGTTTCCCAGTTTTTTATTTTCATTCGGGATCAGTGCTGGGGGTTAGTAATCATCACGATTGAGTGCCTACTGTGTGCTCTGCCCTGTGCCTCGCAGGCATTGTCTCATTTATCCATACAACCTCAGAGGCACATGATTTAATGATCTTCATTTTATTTTTTTAAAATTGATTTTAAAGAGGGAGAGAGAGAGAGAGAAATAGCAATTTGTTGTTCCACTTATGCGTTCATTGGTTGATTCTTGTATGTGCCCTGACTGGGGATCGAACCCACAACCTTGGTGTATCAGCACAACCGACTGAGCTACCCAGCCAGGGCAAGTGATCTCCATTTTACAGGTGAGGAAACTAAGGCGTAGTGAGATAAAGTACATAGGCACACAGCTGGTAGCCTAGATGATATTGCCCTGTGGCGGAAACAGGAACAGGCTCTTCTTAATTGTGATGCCACTCGCCTGCTGGCAGTTCTCCCTGGATGTCCTGAGTACTTTAGACTGGCCCTGCCCTAAGCTGGTAAGTCCTCCTACCCCTCCATCTTGCCCTCCTGTGTTCCCTATCTCAGGGGTGGTATCCGGATGGATGGGGCCCAGGTCAGGAATTCTGGAGCCCGTTTCCCACCTCAATTTTACTTGCTGTGTCCTGCTACTTTCTATCTCCTTACCATTTCTTCTCTCCATGCCCACTCAGCATCATAACTCAGGCCGCTGCCACTGTGTGCCAGGTTGTTGATAACAGTAGTTAACCTCCTCCCTGCCATTTACTCCCCAGACAGCAGCCAGAGGGATCTTTCTAAAACCAAATCTGATCATGTCACTGCCCTGTTCAAGGCTTCATTAGCTGCCAGTTGCCCTCAAGATAAAGCCCAAGCATTTTAATATGGCCTTACAAGCCCTTGATGACACGACATCCATGCTACTTTACCAGTCTTTATTCCTCCCCTCTGCCCATCCCCCTCAACTTCTTACTTTCCAAGGAGTGTGCTTTCTTATTCCAGCCTCATGGTCCAATCCTTCTCCAGAAAGCCTTCCTTGACCCTCCTAGTCCTTGTTAGGTGCTCCACCTCTTAGCTTGTATAACATGTGAGTCTAGTACTCCACATTTATTGAGTGCTTACCATGTGCTGAGGTCTTTCACTTAATCCTATGAGGTAGCTACTCATATTTCCATTTTACAAAGAGGTTAAGTGTAAGTGCCCAGGTATATACAAGGAACATGGGGGTGGAGCGGGGATTCTAACACAGTTCTTCTGCCTACCTGGTCTGAGCTCTTAACCACCACTCTGTATGGCACTTTTTCTACCCTAATGATATACCTGTCTCCCCCCTGAACTTCAACCTCTTTGAACACAGGACTGTACTCTTTTCACTGCTTTATCCCCAAGCATATGGCCTTTACCTTGTAGACATTCAACTGCATCAAGTGAATAAATAAGTCATACCTTTTTATAAAAAATATTACAAATAGGATTTTTTATTTGTCACCATTAAATGACTGAATTTTACACTTCATCTTAGCCAAAAGGCCTAGAAGCGATAAAATGTCTGAATTTTAAACAGCTTCTTGGACTGGTGGTTCAAATCCGTCAGCTTGCTTCACCATGAAGCTCCACGAGTTTTCGCAGTTCCAACTTGGGCTTCTTCAGCATTTTGACTTTTCTAACGAAGACATCATGGAGCAGACAGATTGGCAAGCCTTATCTGTCTTTTCCAATGCTATCTGGAATCAATTTATTGACTACTTCTTTCAAGTCATTTGTCTGCACCTCTCAGATCATGATTCCCATCATCTGGATTTGACAGGCCTGTTAATGCTGAGCATAAGAGGCTTCCTAATATTATTGTTGCATTTTTTAGTAAAATCAACAGAGTAGATGGAGTAAATAAACATCAGCAGTCTTGACGCCAGCGTGAGCTTCAATCATGGTCTGACATTTTTTGACCATGGAGCACATTTTGTCAGGCAGTTTTTGCCCTGAACATCCTCAGTAATTAGCTTTAATTTTCTAAATGCAACTTCATTCTGTAGATCAGCTAGGCTCACTTCAAGAACATGACACTTGAGACCATCAGATGCAATTTTGGTTCCTTGAGTTCTCATGACTGAATAGTGGTTTTACAATATTTCTTATATTGAACATAGCTGCTGCTTTCACATCACACCAATCTTTCTTAGAAAAGTGATCAACCATTTTCTTCTTGGCTCCGTTTTTGCCACCTTTCATAAAGTGCTTGCTCTTACTGACTTCCATAGTGCTTCTCAGAGAGCAAAAGGGCGACATACTTTCTAATACTAACCGTACCAGGTTTCTTGTTACAAGTGTAAATAACCTAAATCAAACTGATTTACACCAAAAAGGGATTTGTTGGTTCATGTAACTGGGATGCCAAGGTATGAGCTGGAGGCTAGTCTTAATATTACCTCTCTCCATCTCTCAGCTTTTTGTCTCTGCTTAGCTCTCTTCCATCTGTGCCTGTCTCCATCAGCAACTCAGGTTGACTCCCTCTTTTCACAACCCTATTAGTAAAATAACCTCACTTTCTCCTAGTGATTAATTTCAGGGAATACTGATTGATTCTGAACTACAGTGTAGAGCTGGGTCCCTGTGACTGACACAAGGTAGGCAATGTGATCCTCTAGGGGACCAAACACCATGATCAAGAACCAGATGGGGAGGCTTCCCAAGGCAGGCAAAAATATGTCTACCCTGCCTGGCCAGAGTGGCTCAGTTGGTTGAGCGCCATCCTGTGCACCACAAGGCTGCTGGTTGGATTTCTGATCACGGCACATACCTGGGTTGTGGGTTCAATCCCTGGTTGGGGCACATAGAAAAGGCAACCGCTCGGGCCTAGCCAGACTGGCTCAGTGAGGAGTGCAGACTGAAGGGTCGCAGGTTCAATTCCGGTGAAGGACACATACCTGGGTTGCAGGCCAGATCGCCAGCCCAGTGTGGGAGGAACCAATTGATGTGTCCTTCACATTCATGTTTCTGTCTCTCCCCCTCCCTAAAAAAAAATCAATGGAAAAAATATCCTTGGGTGAGGATTAACAACAACAACAAAAAAGAACAAGTTGGTCATTCTTAGGTTACTTAAAACAAAAGGCAACCGATTGGTTTCTCTCTCCCCCTTCGTCTCTCTACGCATGTCCTTGGGTGAAAAACACATCTGCCTTGGCCAGCATTTATTAAGGACCAACTTAGTGCCTGGTTCTGAGCTCTCTTCCCAGATAGTGTCTAACCCAGTGATTTGCAAGTTCGAGAGCATTATAATCACCAGGAGAGCTTGTTGGGGTCAAGAATTTGCATTTCTAACAAATTCCAAGTGATAATTGTGCTGCTAGGACACCTGGAGGACACTGCTCTATACCTCAAGCTAGACCACAGCAATGACAGCATCTGGGAACTGATGAGAAATGCAGAAGCTCAGGCCCCACCCCAGACCAACTAAGTCAAAATTTGTATTTGAACAAGATCCAGGTGGATTTATGAGCACTTTAGATTGGGAAGCACAATTCCAAGCTCCAAAGAGAGAGCTAAGAGCACAATATTAGAGATAAGGAAACAGGACAGCCAAGTTCCACCAGACCTGACAACTCCAGTTCTCACATGTGGCTACTTGGTGGAGTTACAGGGCAGGAAAGAGGGCTGGGATAGCAGGAATAAGAAAAGGGGTTGCTGAGAACCTTCCTGCTGGGACCCCTGCTGTGCTCTTGCTTCTCCCCCTCCCCCCAGGCCTGCACAACCAGCTGCAGGCAGAGCTGACCCATTTGGGTGAAGAAGCTGAGACCTGGGCAAAGTTGGAGCGCACCTGGGTGCTGCTTGTTCATCTTGGAGACCTTCCTGCAGGACCTGGGCAGGCCCATCACCTCAGCTTGCTCTTCCCTTTGCCGGGACCCAGCTGATCAGCACAGGGGTTTCTTCCCAGGGACCCAAAAACCAGGGCCTATGGCAGGCCAACGGAAAGATGGCCCTAGGGGCTGGGCTACTAGGTGCAGCAGCTGGAGGTGAATGTACCCCCTTGGAGTGTGGGGACATCTGCGGGGGACAGAGAGCAAGGGGTGAATCAAGAGCTGTCTCTTCCGATACTCGGCCTGAGTGGGATGACCTGAGCCTTTCTATCCTTTCCCAGGGCCAGAGCATCTACCATCAGGAGGTAGGTGGCTGGTCTTTTGCACTCCACTCCCCAGCCTATGGTCTGGTTCAGCCTCATCTGCAACACAGCTGGGGGAGCCCCCAATAGTCACTAACATTCTTGGTGCAGGTCACAGCTCCAAAGAAATAGGCATTTTGTGACACCCATTTTATAGACAAGGAATAAAATTTTATAGACAAGTCATAAAATAACCAAGGTCATAAGGGAGCAAATCCTGTCATCCCACTGCTATGCCCTACAGCTTGGACATCCTGAAGGACAAGTGTTTCTCTCTGGGAGAGAGGAGCAGGGGCGTGAGCCCAGATCTTAGGAGCCTGATTCTGTCCCAATCCAGCACTTCCTACTCTAGGGAGCAACGAAAAACAAAAACGAAACCCAAAATGTATTTATTTAATATATTCATCACAGGGGCTCAACCAGACTTAATTTAAAAAACAGAAACAAAACAAATATGACACCACAGCCGAAGATACAGAGTCCTATACAGAAATCAAGGCAAGGACAGACCATCTAAGGAAAAAATAAAAAGACAGCACAAGGAGAGAGGCTGGACAGCCCGGGTCAGGGCTCTTGGCTGGAGACCTGCTTTGCGTAGGTTTCTTGTAGGTACTTCTTGAAGGCTAGAAGAGAACAGGCAGGTCTCGGAGAATGATGGGGACAGGACACGGGCAAGAGGGAAGCAGGGATGCAAAGGTGGGTGGAGTTTGGAGGGAGTTCCCAGAACAAGATTCTCCCTCTGCTGCCCACCCAGTGAGGTCTCCTGGATAGGCTCTGCTTCCCGTGTCACTGGGGAGGGGACTTGGGGGCCTTAGTGAGCAAGTCATTTGCACAAAGCTTTGCCTTCTACTTAAAAAGCCCTTCAACCCACATTAATGTGGAAAGGGTTAATTTTCTGATTTTATACCAAAAAGGCAAACCAGAAACACCAAGGCAGAGGTAGGCCAGGCTTCCCTCTTAGGACACATTCCCAAGTCACCGAGACCCTTTTGTTTGAGGGAGCCTTTGAAGGTTGGGGAGGGATCACCCAGTGCGGGTGGCAGAAGGACCCACCTGTGGGGTTTTTCCAGAGCTCCGCAGCATGTGTGTTCAATGGGCTATCGATGTTGGGTTCTGTGGGTGAAGAGAACAACATCAGTCAAGGGGGTAAAAGAGGCTGCCTGGGGGCGTCCCCAGGTTGTGGAAAGAGGGTGGGGCTAGTCTCAGAAGTCACCTCCTAGCAGGCTCTGGATGGAGAGCAGGATGGTCCTGACATCATATAGGGCAGACCACTTGTCCTTTAGGATGTCCAGGCAGATGTTACCCTGGGTGTCTACGTTGGGGTGGTAGCAGGGCGTGAGGAATTTCACCGTGGGTGCGTTGTACGGGTAGCCACTGGGGAACTCTAGGGAGAGCTTATACCTCAGGTCTTCATATACCTGACATCGGAGAGAGGTGGGGAGTAAGTTTGCCACCCTGAACCGCATATCCCAGCCCAAGTCGCACATAAGGACCTTGCTAGAACCATTGAGTTTTTCTAGGACTTGACAGAAGACAAAGTCACACTGGTTCTGATGTTTTCTCTCATACCTGGTGGAGACATCAGGGATCCTTTGGTTTAAGGCAGGGGTGGGGAACATCCGGCACATGGGCTATAAATGGCCAAGGCCTCACCAAAGAGAAGCAGTTCCAGCCATCACATTAGGGGTGAGTTAACTGTTTGACCAAATATAGCAGGCTAATTTTGTATGGCCTGCGAATGATGTTATAACTATCCAAATGGCCGTTGGCAGAAAAAGGGTTCCCCACCCCTGGTAAGGGTTGTAAATTGGCACTCTGAGGGTTAATACAGCTATGCTTTTTAGTCCAATTAGAATATTAGTTGCTAACATGTAAAAATTGGGAGATGGGGCACCGATCTGGAGTTCTGACTTCTCTTAAACCAGATATGCAGCAATGCAAAGCTGCCACCCTGAGAATCATGTCATCTCATTGGCCAAAATCCTCACTGTCCTCCACTCTTTTCCTTGCTGTCTGGCCCCCCGAGGAATCTAAGATGGACAGCCTTGCTTTAAGCCCATCTCCTTACTGTACAGAAGGGAAGACCAGGACCACAGGCTCAGAGCACAGGGAAGTATCCTGCCCACCTAAAAGCTGGAAGCAGATCTGGCATTTGAATTATTTCACCTCCCGCCTCTCCCCAGATCCAGCAAAGTCACACTCACCTACCCCAACCCTACACTTACAGTGCCAGCTGCTCCATGGATGGTCCCCACCCATTTGAAAAGGTTGTCTGATTCAGGGAAGGCAGAAATTCCTTTGTCGCCAGACATCTGGGGAGGAAACATTTGCTGGGCTGTCTAGAACACTCCTGGGAACAAAGGGTGAACCCCTCCCCCTTAATCCCATCACAGTCTGATCCAAAATAAGGCAATCAGGCCAAATTGAAAGACTTTTCTGAGAAAGTGGTTAGATTCTCGGGGTTGAACATGCCCCTCTGAGGAGGAGTATTGGGATTATAAAGGTTCAAAGCCAGGCTAAGGACAGAGGGATTATGCAGGTAAACAGAAGGCTTCTCTGTACCCACAATCTTGTTGGTTGTTAGGAATTCAACTCAACGTGCTATTGAGTGCTGGTTCTATACAAGGCCCAGACTGTTCACAGACTAGGGAGATATACAACATGGACACTGAAGGATTTGAGTTGAATATTCAGGAGTAATGTAGAAAAGGTCATCTAGGATGAAATACTAAGAAGGATGGAGAGTTGGGCGTGGCTAAAGTTTAGGGCAGGGAAATAGGGCCAGGCAGGACAGGGGAAGGCTTTGTATGGCTTCTGGGAACTATATTTTTAGAGAAAACTTCATTGTGGGGAGATGGGATTAGGAGTAGAGACTGCTGGAAGAAAAGGTGTAGGTGGGGTATACGAACTTCTTCCCAGAAGAGAGCAAACTGGACTCATCTTTTTACCCCTTTGCTCTGTGTCTAGCAAAGAGCCTGATGTGGGAAAGGAGGCTACTGATGAGTGAGTGCAAAGTGGGAGGGCAGACCAAGTGGCTAAGGATCTGGGCAGGTAGTCACTCACCATGAGGGTCATCAGCTCCTGCTGTAACCTGCAAAGTGAGCATTTGGAGTCACCTGGGAGTCTGGACGGACCAGGACTCCCCATGGTCCCATCTCCTCCCACACTTATCTCTCTGAAGGAGCTGTCATGGATTCCCCCTACCCTGAGGCGAGACTCAGCTTGGGGCACACCCCCATTTCCACAGGAGGGTCCTACTGGGTCCTCACTCTCCCTCCTTTCAGGCTCTTTCAGCACGGTTCTAGCGTGTTCTTAACCCCCACTACTCCAGACCTCAAAATTTCTCCCCTCTGGCGTCCCCACAAAGCCACCGAGACTCCCCAGCGCATCTTCATCTTGGCTCACCTACGGAGGATCCTGGCAGCATCCCCACACCTTCCGTCCTCCTTCAGAAGGGTCTCTAAGAGCAGCCCGAGCTCCTAGAGTGTCCCCCATCTCCCATATATCAGCCGTTCCAGAGCGAGGGGGCCCCGGAAATCTTCGCTGTCGGCCCCACAGCCCAGGGCGTGCCAGGCCTGGCCTTACCTCCGCACCACTCACCTCTTGCCCACGGGCCCCCGGGCGGCGCCCCCGCTGGGTTCGGCTCCTTTACGAGCTGTGGCGACGCTGGTGGCGGCTGGGTCGCGGTTCTGAGAGGCCATCCGGGCAGCGCTGGCAGGGACACAGGAGCTCGGAGAACAAGACTGTAACTGCAGGGCTGCGGGCCCGCCCGCCGGTATTTGAATTGTAACCCTCCGGCAACGCTGGCCAATCAGTGGCTCGCTTGGGTTTGATCCAGCCAATGGGGCGCTGCAGAGGGCTGTCACGGCGCAACTGCTCGACTCACCCACCGGCGCACCATTACGGAGCGGCGGGAATCCTGATTCTGAGGGGCGATTGGCTGGAGAGGCTGCCATTAAAACGAGTCTGCAGTGGATTGGTGGCCTTTGGAAAAGGGCGAACATTAAAGGGCTAAGAAAAAGTACACGTGTGATACGCCCCTTAGGTCTAACGCCTGGCTATGCGCCTCAACACCCAGGGAAAGGCTGGGTCTCCAATCTTGCCGGGCGCTGAGTGCGGAAATCCCTGCCTCTCCCCGTATCAGGTCCTGGGCCCATCGCGAGGGGAAATACTTGAGGTTGATGGCAGACTAGCAGTGCACTATTAGACAACAGGTTCATCTGCTGCCTCTCTACATAATTTAGTGTTTTAACCTATAAAACAGAGATAATAAAAGCCACTCTGCATTTTCCTTCTGGTCTATCACCAACCCACCAAGCCACCCATTACATTCTGCTACTTCCATACCTTAGCTAGGTGGAGAAATAATAGTGGGACACAGGTGAGAGAGGTGTTCCCAGCTTCATCTCATAAAGCATGATGTGTGCGCATGGGGCAGCAGGACCTTCTTGGGTCTAACCTGGGATGAAGCGGGGTACCTGGTCCTCTTATCCTCCACCCACTTCTAGAGCCCTTGATGTTTTGTCAGCCTCCACAAGGCAGAACACACAGCAGGCCCACCATCTGTGTTTATTACAAACTGTTTGTTTCTTATCCTAACAACTTTACAAATATAGAACTACATGCCAATCTGGGGGTGCTCTGTAGTGAGTCACTACAAACTAGCCCAGGCACAGCTTAATGCCGCTATCATCCATCTGGGAGCAGTCTCAGCAGTGGCCTCAGCCATGGGGGAAAGAGGGTCTTGAAGGAAGGCTGCCAAGTGTAGCCAGGCCACCTGGCTTCAGGTCTGTGCAGGTGCTTCAACAGCTCGATGCTCATTCTCTGTCCGTTGCGTCTCCATGTACTTTCGCATCTTCTCAACTATCCAGGAGGGTAGGACAAAGGATTTCAGCTCATCTAACTTCAGGTCCAGGCATCCTCTGGCAGAGACATTAAGGAAAAATGTTGAAGACAGGATGTTGGCCCAGGTTCATCCTGGGGCTACTATAAGGCAGAGGGGGAGGGTAGGGTACAGATCTACTGGATTTACCTATAATCATCGCTGGCAGCAAGGTCCCGGATGTCCTCCTCAATGAGGAGGTAGGCCTGGGGCAGGAGCAAAGGAGAGTAATCATCAATTCTGGTTCATAACTCAACACACTTTGCTTAATGTGAGGGCTGTAAGGGAGGGGACAGTTTATAATTTAGTAGGGGTGAGTAAATAGGGAGAGACTGTCTGGGGAACAGTTCCTTGAGAGAAACTTTCACTCAATCAAACAGAAACTTTGTCGATGGGGGGGGGAGGGTAGAGACTGGTAACTATTTATAACCAGGGTCCTCTTTTAAAAAAGGGCCCTGAGGTGCTTAATAACAAAATGGCAAAAGAGCTAACAAAATATACATGGAAACAGGAAATTGGAGGAAGCTATATTAACCCTAGAAACCAAGATTATTTGGTTTTGAACTTTGTGGCAGAAGGGAAAACTGTTTAGTAACTGGGCTATATTGTCCTGGGGCCTGTAAAGCTGCTGGCACTATGCCATGGGCTGTAGTGGGTGAGAGCCAGCCCTCTTGTGAGCTTTCCATACAAAGGATGTTCATCACATGAGAGTCTTCTGTGGGAGACATGTCTTTCTAGTCTTAGGGTCGGGAATAATTAATTGTGTGTCCCTTGATTGACTGTCTTCATCTTAACGGTGCTGTGAACTTAGTAACAGATCGGGTGTTCTTGAGAGGGGGCTAGAGCTGAATTTCTGAAAACCCAGAAGTGCACTGGTCTCCCAGGTTAGCAATTAAAAAAATTTTTTAAAAAAAACTAGTCTTGCTCATGGCCTAATTCAGGTCCTGTGTTTCTCCCTGCTATTTCTTATTGTTATGTTTCATTTAAAAAAAAAATTCTTTATTGATTTCAGAGAGAGGAGGGAGAGAGAGATAGAAACATCAATGATGAGAAAGTCATTGATTGGCTGCCTCCTGCACGCCCCCCACTGGGGATCAAGCCTGCAACCCGGGCATGTGCCCTGACCGGGAATCAAACTGCAGTCTTCTGGATCATAGGCCAATGCTCAACTGCTGAGCCACGCTGGCCTATTATGTTGCAATTTGTGTAACAATGGTAAGCTCCCTGGAATCTTTTTTAAAACAGGGTATAAGTATAAATAGAGTACTAAATAAAAGATAGCTTCCAGTGCCAGAAAGGAAATGGTATACTGGTTTACAAGGCCATTAGATTCTAACAGGAGCAGCCCCAGCAGAGGGACTAAGTGAGTCCTTGGGTGGGGAACACTGCATGTGATGGATAAAGCGCTCTTCATGGTGGTTTTTAGAACTCATGCAACAATGATTCTCCTAAGGTTGTGGCTTGATGTGAGCTGAAAACTTAAGGGGATTCTGTAAGGGACTGCCAGGTGTGGCAAACAAGTTTTACCCATATTGACAAGGGGTGCTGCTAGGAGCACTGTGTTGAGAAAACGGTGTCTGGTGCAGAGTGTAGTGATCGATGAGTGAAATCTGTCAATGGGCATGAGGGATAAGTAGTAAGTGTGTCTTGTATCTGCTGTTCTTTTGCGCAGCAAATAAAATCTAAATATAAGGGATGAGGTGGGGAGGTGGTGGTGGGGTGCTGTGTGGGAGACCTATGGACAGAAAAGGGAATCCAGGGATTACAGCCTGCTGTTCAGCATGAAGAATGGGCCCTCTCTGCCCTTAGAAGCCTCCCCTTCTACATCCATCAGGCTTTGAGAGTCTCTCAGATTTAGAGGTAAGCTGCCACCAATAGCCAGAGCCCTGGCTCCTGGGATGGCTGGGGCTTTGGCAGCAGCACGAGGGAACACTGCTTACCATCTTCCCCCCTGTTGCTCGCATGTGATGTTGCTCGGCCAGCCAGTGCTTGTCCTGGGGATCAGCTGCGTACTGTGAGGGATGAAGTCACAGGGGAGACATTAGCTTGGTGGGTCTAAGAATTGGGTAATAATAATTAATGTTTATTGAGCCTTTGCTACATGACAGGCATCGTGTTGGGTGCTTTACTGTACTCTCTTTTTAAAATGTTTTTATTGATTTTGGAGCAAGAGGAAGGGAGAGGGATAGAGAGAAACATCGATGGGAGGAACATCTATCGGCTGCCTCTTGCATGCCCCCTACTGGGGATCGAGCCCAAAATCCTGGCAGGTGCCCTAACCAGGAATTGAACCAGTGACCTCTTCTTGGTTCATGGTTTGACACTCAACCACTGAGTCACGCAGACCAGGCTGCACTCTCTTAATTCTACCAACCCTAGGAGTTGGTCTGTATCATTCCCATTTTATAGATGACAAAAAGGATCAGAAATGTGGAGCCCCTTGCCCAAGGTCACACAGCTACTAAGTAACAGAATCAGGACTGAAACCATACTCTTAACCATTGTGTCACAGGAATTCAAAGCAGGTCCAAGAGCATATCCACTTGGGGGATGATGCAAACAAGGTCTTGGAGGATGTGGATCTTAAAGAATAGTCAGGCAGAGATAACAGCTGGGGAGGAAGGTTATCCAGGTAAAGGGAAAAGTAGGAGTGAAGACACTAAGAGAGGAAAATATAAAGAAGTAGCCAGTAGGCAAATTGTCTAGGTGTTGGGAATCCCCAAATATAAACCTGAAAAAGTAGAGGAAGCAGGTCTGCCCTTCGAAGAACTTGAATGTGCACAGAATGTAGCATACAGAGTCTATGATTCTGGGACCTCAGAGGGAATATGCAGTTCTGGCAAAGGGCACCAAGTCTTATGAATAGGTGCAACCCCC